TTGAAGACTACAAATGGATTTGTTTCAGTTGAGATCATCATCATCAAATGACATTTATGAACAATTATCGAACGATGACAGTAGTTATAATAATACAGAACGATAATGATCTACAACCACACAATAATAATAATAATAATAATCGAAACAAATAAATTAATGTGCGAATAGCATTCAATCGGTCTATTTAAAGCAGATTAACGGAACCAACCGAACAGCGATTATGATAACTGATCATCAAAATGAAACAAAACCTTGAATCACCAACCCCATGGTGAATTATTGTTGTTGGTGAACTGTTGTTGTGCAGAATAGGAGGGTAAACTCATGGGTCGTTGCATATCTTGTGAGTTGTTATTCGCATCGTTATTGCCATTATTATTGTTACTATTGAACTGCTGCTGATCCATGCACGTCACTGAATGCGGAGGAGTACTGTTTCGGGTCAGCAGCAACGGCGTTCTTAACGAACAATCTATGGGTGATTCCATTATGGCACCACCCAACGTGATGTCTTTACTTCGACCATCTAACAACGGCGTCGTTCCACCACCTTAATTTTCATCCGTCATTCACTAAGAAGAGTAAATATGATAAGCAATCAACCCAAAAAACGAACAAACGAACCTAATTGGAAATTAAGACTCATCGTTGGTGATAAATTTATGGCTGAGCTTTGTGGTAACATTGCTGACGATGGACGTCCATTTGCATTCGCATTATTCATCGTATTGATCGTCGCCAAATCGATCATTATCTGAAGTTGTTTCTGGCAATTATTGAAGGAATGAACGAACGAATATCGCCCAGAAAGCAATCAATATACGAATCAGAACCTGTTGNCATTCGCATTATTCATCGTATTGATCGTCGCCAAATCGATCATTATCTGAAGTTGTTACAGGCAATTATTGAAGGAATGAACGAACGAATATCGCCCAGAAAGCAGTCAATATACGAATCAGAACCTGTTGTTGCTGCTGTTGATTTGACTGATTACTGCTGATGTGTTGATTGTCTTGGTTGATATCCGATCTGATCACGAATTGAGTTTGACTGGTGTTATTCATATTGCTATTGTCAGTGATGATCGCAGGATGTAGAGGGTTCGGATTTGAAGTGGTATCCAACAGATCAGTTGACGATATCGGTCGAAACATTGAGTCGGTGACCATGTTGGCGTTTGACGACGGCTGGGCTGATGCGGCAGTTGCTGTTGATGTGCTTTGTTGGGAGAGTACCTTTATTGATGATATTTACGTATGTATATGAATATCGTAATGAATGAAAATGATAAATTTGGAGAAAGAAACTTTGTTATGAGCCGCAGCATTGGCGGCAGCAGCGAGCTGAGCAAGTTGCTTGGCACGTCGATATCTGCGTCGATGCTGTTTGCCATTGGCGTTATTCGAGTGATGCTTCTGGATGTGCTCTTTGAGCTTATCACGACGAGATGACGCATAGTCACAATTGTCACATCTGCATTATACAAACCATCATTAATCACTAAATTTTAGACTTTCTAAGAGATTCAAACCAATAGACTGATTGACATTACTTGAACGGTTTATCCTCAAGATGAATCCTCTCATGTCTCACCAGATGTGACTTCTCGATGAACGATCGATTACAGATTTTGCATTGATGAGCACGGACCGCCAAATGCGTTCTGCANCAACAGTGTATCAGTGTAAGTGTCCAAAGACCAACCTCAAATGTGCAGCAAGTTGACTCTTTTTAGGCGAGGAATAGGTGCAGTCATCATAATGACAATGGAACACATCACCGGAATGAATGCGGCGATGCGAGATCAAATGGCTCTGGTACTTCGTAGAGAATTCACAGTGAGAACACTGGTACGGTCTGAAAGGTGACATCGATATCATTCGAGGGTGATGGATTGGGAAATAAGGATCGAACCTGGACTGAGAGTGCGCAGCGATATGCTGATCGAGTGTACTCTTCAGTGCAAATCCACGACCGCATTCCGAGCAGTGGAACGGCTTATTGGGAGTGTGCTCGTTTATGTGCGATACCAAATGCGTTTTCGATCGACTTTTGTACTCACATAACAGACATTTGAATGGTCGTTCATCATCTCAATTGTATTATCATTAATATTATCACCGTTATCAGATCACTAATCGATAACTGCTATAAGGATGCTCAACATTTAATACGTACTGTGCGTAAGACGATGTGACAAAAGAAGTTGCATCCGATCATTATTATATTCACATAAATCACACTGGAACGGAGGACCCTAAAATACATTTTTATTTCAGTTTTGCACGAAAACATAATAAAATAATAATAACAATGAATAAAAATAGCAGTAATAATAATAATAATAACGATAATAATAACAGAAAAACAAACCGGAAAATGTCCTTTCATGTGGGTGTAATAATCTCGATTCCATCGACACTCGAACACACACAACGAACAAACATGAACGATTTCCTTGGTATGTTGGCGTATAAAATGATGTTTTAAAGATCGTGCCTTCGAACATCTATATTCACAACATGTACATTTATGATCAGCAGTGGCCGTGGCAGCGCTATCAGCGTTCTCCTCGTTTTCCGAGTCTGCCGATGGCACCGATAACGGATCGATCTCATCTTCTTCATCGAACACCACCTGCATTTATCACCGTTTACTTACCGCTTCATAACAACTAACAGAAATACCTCATCATTGAAATCAACTGCACAATCCGGATATAAATGTTCACTGCCGCTGATATTGACATCGGAATTGTGACTGTTGTTGCTGGTGGTGGATACATCAAGATTCATATAGGACTGCCGTGGTTTCGGAGGTCTTCCGCGTTTTTTGGCGATGATCTGATTGGCGTTCGATATGGATTTACGATAGAGCTTGTTGATTCGATTCGTTGACGGCGAGATTGACTGCGACGAGTAGGCAGAGAAAGACGACGGGAATGCAGCCGTATTCGATACGGCGCTTGAAGTTGAAGACACTCCTTCAATTTATCATCGCTTACTCACCGCTTCATAACATTTCAGTTGAGTTGATTTTTAATAATATACGAATTGAATAAATGAACAATTGAAATACCATAAATATCATACAAATGAAAAAAATAAATAAAATAAATGATTAATAACAAACACCAACCAAGAATTCTGTTTTTACGATTCATTAAATTGACATTATTCAACTGAATTTTCAATTTTAATGATGGTCGAATATTCGATTCTGAATTACCATTATTATTACTGCTATTATCAGTGGTCGAGTTCAGCTGCAAAAACAATTTATTGTGATATGAAAGTAATGAATAGCTATTAAAAGACTGACGAATAAATAGACTGACTTTGAGTTGATCGGTGCTGGTTGCATCAATAACAGACGTCGTTGCTTGTGCACATGAACGATCATCATTATTTGGCAGAATCGCAATGCAGTTTTTGCTTTCGTGGATGCTTTTATCCTCGCAATGCAAACCACTTAAATATGATAATCAAAATTAACTGGATCGATCTAGTCAAAAAGACAAGGAATAATTGAACATTAATTAATTAAGTGAAATTAATTAAGTTAATTAATTAAGTTAAGTGAAATTAATTAAGTTATTCACGATCAGTCAAATTAATTAAGTCAAAGAGTGAAAATTAATGTTCACCTCGTAGTTNTAACTGGATCGATCTAGTCAAAGAGACAAGGAATAACTGAGCATTAATTAATTAAGTGAAATTAATTAAGTTAAGTGAAATTAATTAAGTTATTCACGATCAGTCAAATTAATTAAGTCAAAGAGTGAAAATTAATGTTCACCTCGTAGTTGCAGATTCATTCGCCAATTCAACTTTACTCGATGTGTCGTAATGGAGTTGATTATTATTATTATCACTGTGATTATCAGTGTTAGCACTATTATTATTATCATTACTGTATATTTGCGCTGGATTATCATTGAAATACATGTTCACTTGACCACCGAACTGCGATAAAAGTGTTCGATATTGAGCTTCGTATTTAGCCATTGGTACAGAATGCTCGTACCTTTAATTCATGTCCTTATTATAACATATATTCATAATGCAATAAATGTAACAATCAAAAAATTACATAACAAATAACCAACATGAGTTGTAAAAGAGCGAATCTGGATGATAACGAATTGGCCAAAAACGGAGAGTAATCGAGTAGATTTTCGAGAGTATTCGACTGTAGCATGGCGAATGGACATGAGGAGAGCATTTCTTTGAAGAGTGAATCACGATGACTCGGGTTGTGAGCAACCCATCTGACGATTAATCTGAACGAAAATCATGTAACATCAGGTGCTGTTTGAATAAGAAAAGAAACCAACTTGAGATGAACATCTGCAGATATGGTGTTGGCATATTTGGGTTCATAGAGCAATTGGTTGAGTTGTGCGAGTGAGTACTCAACGATATCGTGACTCTCGAGTAGACATCGGTTGATGTTCACATCGAAGTAGTCACATGAACTCTTCAACAACGCTGGTAGATTGTACTTCAACGCCAACTCCTTCACTGACAAACAATTCGAAGCATCCATATACCTGTCCAGATATTCCGCACAATAATTCTTTACTTTGCTCACCTGAATTCCTGTTCATTGTCACTTCTGAAGTCGTTTGGTGATCGGCATTACATTTCACTTTTCATATACTTAATGATCATCAACAAGAAATTAATTTCATATTTTGTTTAACAAGAAATTTCATTGATTAATTTCGTAGCAACAAAATTTCTTTCTTTAATTTTCTTTAATGACGACAAATATTCTTTAATGATGGCAATCAAACAATATCACTCACCAAGAAATTATTCGCCAATTTCAGTAGATCCGTAACACTACTGCGATCGATTACCACACTTCCACTATACATATAGTTCAATAACAATTCGAATACACTCGGATTCTGACAGTTTACGGTTACCTTCAAATATATAATGATTCAAACAATGCACATGGATCTATAATCAACTGGTATTGAATGCAAAAAAGCGAACCAAACCTGTTCTTTGACAACTTTTGAGTTTTTGAGAATAGAATCGAAATACGGTGAACAAGCAGCCAGTATATTACGATGTGCTGAGAACTGTCGATCCTTCACTATCAAATGCACATCACAGAATCGGCTCATTTCGCGTTGATAGCGCAACCTTTCCAGCAGAATATTACCGTGCTGATCCGTGAATGACATTGGATTTAGATTTAGATTAGTGCTCGTATCCACGTTCGAACTGGAATTATTACCAAGCACATCTTGACCACCACTCGTTGATAGTATCACCATTTTGTAGCGGTTTTTCACCTGAATCATTCACTTCCTTATCAGTTACATTTTAAGATCATGACAAACGACCAGTCACTTAATGTAATTGTTTTGCATGTGATGAACACAATACTTATTGCACTGAGAACTGGGAAGTTGAAGCGATTTGCATTTGATTCAGTGAAACATACTGAAATGCTGATCAATTGGTTTATAAGTAATTCGTTCAGTTTTTAATATGAACAAAGCCCAGAATCAGTCAGAAATATCCGGATCTGCTTAGACCAAGTAAAACGGTAATGAATTGCCTTGGTTAACTTGCATTGTGGGGATTCCTCGAAAAGTCGATAAACTGGAATAAAGCATTCGTTCAAATGTGTATAGATGCCATAGATTGAATGTTCCAATTGCCAATATCGTGCTGAGAGATATCCTCTTTGAATAACGTGACAGCAAGTGATCATAATCAACTCGAACCATGCAATGCAATATATTTGGGCTTAAACTCAATCTGAGGCTCATGTTGGGCTGAAACACCCATTAGACAAACTGTTGCTTCCATCATGACAGAAGTTTCTAAACAATTAGATGGTTCCTCGGCATCAGCTGAAGCATAAGATCAAATGGAATCAATCCACCGAGGTATTTCATTCTGTAGACACACATACACACACACAAATTATTCTTAACTTGAGTGAGTATCTTCATCTCTTCTATCATGCAACAGTTTCGCGTAGTGTGTCTCCCATATGCTTATTCTGGTACCAGCGTATCTGCTACTGCAGGCTCCAATAAACAATAGAGGACCGTCGAGACTGCCGTTTTAGCATAAGTTAACACAAGCATAGACGCGGGCTTGGTATTAAGCTTAGGTTCAAGCTTGAGTTCAAGATTAGACTCATTATCAGACACAACCTAAGGCCTAGGACTAGGTTTAGGCTCAGTCTTTACGTTCAGTGTTGCGATATCATCATGTATCACTGAATGTCTTCGTATGTGAAAGGTGAGTGTACGGTAATGCTGCTGCTAACACGTTGCGCATTCGAACGAATGCACGTTTGGTTGTTTCGAAGATATACATCTATTGCAATCTTGTGAACAGTGAGCATGGCGATATGAGCATTGAAAACACATGTTTATCGGTTTGAGCGCGTTGACGTTTGCTGTGTTATTTGGCGATATTTTGCGTTTGTTTATTTTTTGCAGAATTGTTCACGTATGACTTACAATGACAATATGAATAAATCTTCAAATTATTCTTTCAATTTCAATTCTCAACTTCAACTGACAATCTTAATATTCATCCAAATAATGCATCCCGACATTTAGCAATTATTTTTAAGCAACACTAAGCAATTTTTTTCTTCAGGTTGTTGTTGTGGCAAGCATAATGTGGCAATCGTGTAGTTAAGGTATCCAATAGAAGTGGCTTATCACTAGCCTCGAGCAGAAGAGTCTTATCCTTGTATTTTACAGAGGTTCAACGCGGGGTTCAACTTGAGGTTTACCCCGACGTCCACCCCAACTCACAATGGAGCCTGAGCTGTGGGCGTGAGGCTCATACAGAGCTCAGGCTGTTACTTGCAGCACAGTTATGAAAAAAAACATTCCGTTGCAGTTTCACTCAATTAGAGCTGCTCATGTTTTACCTGATTTCGAGACCGCATCATAATAATTGAAAACTCAACGGTGACCTGAGGTCATTCCACTGAGAAATGAATAATGTTTTCGGTTAGGAAATTCATGAAGATAACAACACAAAAACGGATGAAAACAAGTATGGTAAATTGCTTCAGTTGAACGTATATTCAGAAAGAGCCACTGAAACCTTAGGTCACCCCAACTTCTCAAAACTTCAACAGCCAAAAAAAATATCATCAGTGATCTTTAATTGCTCAATTATGTTCCGTGTTTATAAACGGTTTCTATGCGTGATCGCATCAAAATCAATGAAAACCACTCAGTGTAAATTTAGAAGATCACAATATCTTGTAATACGCGTACAAAATGATGAACATGAGTTTGCATTGCTCAAATCGGCTCGAAAAGAGCTGTCCAGGATTGAATAACTTGACAGGGAATTGACTGAAACGTTTGACCCTTCTTGGAGTCTGACATTGAAATGGGGTCTAACTGAAATGTTAGACCGCTTTATCTCAATTGCCAGGAAACCTCTGTCGTGATAAATAGAAACAATGATATGGTTCGATGTGCTGAAGTGGATATGAGGGAGTCATGAATAATATTCGTTGATAATACTTATAAGACGTGTGATAACGCTAAAGAATAGTTCGTTTGTTGTCGAATAATATGACATTATGATTTGATCAAAAAGTTGTAGTCATGTCGAGTGTGCAATCAAGCGATCAATCAATGCACATGACTGATAATAATTCCAATGCATCACCAAAATCTACCCACAATTCACCACCGCAAAACACTGATCAAGCTGACGAAATCACATCTCAAAGCACGTCAACTAATACCGATCCAGATACCTCTGAACAACCACCAATAAAACGAAGCAAACTATCAAAGAAATTACACATCGGTTCGTGTTTGTCTTTCAATTTTCCAATAACGTTATTAATTCTTCATCAAGTCGTATTGCACACGTCTGCTCTCAATTCCGAGAGGTTGATTGCACTTTGACAGAAATGCACTGACAATTAGCATATTGAGGCAAAAATGCCGATACGAGCAGCAACGTATCTAACTCCAATGGATCTAACAGTAATACGAGTGTGTTTTTCACCTCTCATACACCTAAGCATGTTTCTGAACTTAAGCACAATTCTGTAAGTGTGAGCCAAAGCCTGAACAACAATTGCAGTTTGATGTGAGTGGATCAGGCCGAACACATCGGCGTAGTGTGTTGTGAGGAAGGAAAAAAGATGGAGGCGGGGAATGTCGGGGAAAAACTGAATCTCATCCACGTCCCTAATTCATGAATTTTCTCCGAAGTAACTTTTGGGCTGGAGTCATGTATGAAAACAGGAATTTGTACCGCAAAATCACCGAAATGAAGCAATTTCTGAATAGGAAAGAGATTACCGTAAAGTCATATGACAGTTTTAACAGTGACATATTATTGAATCACATGGAAAAGTGATCAGTCTTTGGCGAGAAAAAATTTAAAAAATGTTTTAAATAACAATGACATTATTGTCTTCTTCTTCTTGACTGAAGAAGTCGTTGAAACTCTGGCCTACGAATTCCAGAAATGGCTGTGTCACAATGATGAGGAGTGTATCTTCTTCCCATGATACTGATTTGAGATAACCAAAAACACTTCGTTCCTGTGATATTATAATAAAAGTCGGACATTTTCGAACGT